TACGTTTCCACAACTTTATGGCCGTATTTATGGGTCTATTCTCGCCTTTTGTCGTATAAATCAATATCTTATTCAACGCTTGCATACCATTCCACTGACCCTCCCGTACATCATATAACTGTTCCTTGGGAATGCCATTCAGCGCCCCATCCGTCCCAGTCTCGGCACCGGTAGCAAAAACTTTACGAGTTGAATAGTTAGCTGGTTGAATTTGTCCAAATGGCAGGGACTCCCCTCCCTCTGCCCTAAAGAATAATCCGGAATATTCTTTGGTTACGTCAACCCATGTAGTCAGTGGCCACAGTAGCCGGGGCTCTGACTGATTAGGCAGTTGCGTGTATATAAAGCCAATAGGTACGGCAAAAGTGGTAGTTCCCAGATCAGCCTGGTAAAAGTAATCATTTTGTTCGGTATCCCCAGTATTGTTATTCTGCGTTCCCGTAGACTTATCATTGAGTTTGTTTGCGGTCATAGACTTAACATTAGTGTTACGTTCGCGTAAAAGTACATTGATAATATTTTGTTGGGTATTTACGATTTGGGTCAGATTTTCGAGGGCAGTGCTAACTATACCCATTGTCCACTCCTGGCGCTTCTGGCATACGACTAACGCCCGGCGCCCACACGGCTCTGAATACCATTTGCCCATAAAGTTAACATTGACCGACATTTGCACACAGAACCCAATGGATATCATACGATGATTACCCCGGTAGTTATCGTATACTTGGGTTGAGTACTCATAGGGCGTGCCATCAACCCAGTTGTTATAACTTTGGACATTGGTACTATTCATACCTGTCCATACCTTGTCCGTAATGCTACTGTAGTTAGCGATGAATTTTGTGATAAACTCCTGTTCCTCTTTGGAGTCAATGGTGATTAGTTTGGCCTTAGGGTCCAGTGTTAGGCATTCCTGGAAAGCTTGGGTTTTGGTCACCCTTTTTGGTACAACTTTATAGCACTTCTCCTTTTTATAGACAATCCAATCGTCGCATAAATTCAAATCAACAGTCGCTTGGAGTAAGTCTTCAAATTATTTAATAATTATTTTTAAAAAATATAATTATAATGCAAAGTAACAATTCATACTATACCAGCAATGCTTAGCAGTATTGACAAAATAATTATTGATTTTAAAATCATTTTATGTTATTTTAATTCTCTTAATTCAAACTGGTTATATAACAATATAAAAATAATATTTAAAGTATTATAAGTTTCAATATAAACCATACACTTGAGTCTGTTTTATATAACTAAATGTTACTATTATAAGATTGATGCTTAATAATCAGTGATTATATACATAACTAAGTTATGTTAATATGCATATTAACAGAGATTAAAAGGATGTTTATTTTAATATGTCCATGAATTTGCATATCACTTACAATTATGTATTACATATCACATAAATATTTTTTTAAAATTTATTAACTACGACTTATTAGTTTC